AACCAAACATTTCACAGTCACTGACTCTGCGAGTCACACTACATACAAAGCATCTGCATACTTTTCCTTTCACTTACGCTCTACAAGCTGACTGCCCTCGCTAGACAGCTGCAATCTTCACTTACAGTCTACGAATAATATATCTCGTCACTTTCATCACCCTATACTTCCTCCTACGAGATCTATTCAACTCCCTCACAGTTAGAATCTACAATCTTGAACGGCAACTCAGAAACTGCCAAGAACTAGTAAACACTTGAATTGACTTACTTTAAAGAGATATCCAACTAGTTTTCACCATGGCTAACAACATGTTAAATCCACTAAACCCATCCATAAATCTCATACCCAAACTCGAAGACACCAACTTTTTTGAATGGAAAAAGACAATCACTGGCCACCTTACCGCGATGGGAAAACTCAAGTTCATCGACCAAGAAGTTGCTAGACCAGAAGACAAAAACGAAGTGGACATCTTTGTGCAAGAACGAGCTCAAGTCCTTCAAGCAATCTGTTTGACTGTCAACAAGGAAAACCAATCCGCTATCATTCATTTTGATGATCCATACTGGGCTTTCAAGGCACTCAAAGAAAAGTACGGAAGTAACAATGTGTTCATGATTGCAAGCACAATTGCCGACATTGTGCACCTACGTTTTGAGGACACGGCTTCACTCGACGACTATGTTGCCCAAAGCCCTTCACAACAAACTCAACGACATGACTCAAGGTAACAAAGCATTTCACTTGCCGGATAACGTGTTGGCCATATTCATGGTCATCAATTTACCGCTGGATGAATTCCGACACATCATCCAATAATTATTCTCCTCAAAATAAATCACTGTCAAACAAGTCATCACCCAATTAAAATCTGAAGCTGCTATGGTGAAAAGCTCAAACGCTAAAGAAATTGTGATGTATGGTTTCAAGAAAAACAAACCACCTACCCGTCAACAAATCAATCACTCCAACCAATGCACAATTCACAAGTTCAGCTCCCACACAAATGCAGAATGAAACACGCAAAAACCGGGTGGAAGCAGCTCGACTACCATCCGCTAATGTCGCCACCACCAAACAAAGAAACCCTTTGGACAATGTGGAGCTACTCAACCAGGTAGATAGAGCTTGGAGGGGATATAGACAACTACACTATTACTAATGTAAGTTGAGGCTGCCCTCCTGTACAATGCTAATGTGAAGAGTGTAACACTAAGAAAAAGAAGAAGAGAGGTGTGGCTGATTTCTACTTTATCTTAGACTACTATTACTGATGAGCTTGTGTATGTAGTACCTACTGAGGTGAGAGGAGGAGGAGTAATGAGGTGTGATGGGATAATACTGGCAAGGGTGTAACACTGGCAAAGAGGAATGGCACTGGCAAATGGGATAATCTGGCAAATGGGGATTTATAACTGGCAAGGGGGGATGTATAACTGGCAAGGGGGGATGTATAACTGGCAAATATAACTGGCAATGATATTTGGTAAAGATATAAGGGTGATACTAGTATTTCTGATTTCTAAGACTATGGTTAGAAGATAATTCAGGCAAGGTACATAGCATAAGGAAGAAAATACATGAGAGGGAAGAAAGAGTATATATGTGTACAGTGGGTAGACAGTGAAAAGTGGCTGCTTATTTTGGATTCCAGAGCTCTGAAACACAAACTTGAAGTAATAAGACTTGGTCAGGTGGTGAATAACAGCTCCCAAAAAATGAATATGAAATAATAAAAGCAAAAAATAAAGTTTGAAAATTTGTGAAAAATAAAAAATAAACTTGATTTTTTTCAAAAGCTTTAATATTCATTTTGAGGGAGTGGGACTGCTGAGAGAAAGAAAGAATTGAACGTGGGAAGAATGATTATAAATGAAAAAAATTGGAACCAAAAAAGGTTTAGCCAGGTTGGTGGCCCAGATTGGAGCCAAAACAGTAAATTCTAGTGCTTTGCTGCAATGTGGGCTGGTGAATGCCCCACTCAACAGCTGTTTGAAGCCCTCTGAAACCCAGTTTTTCCAAAATTTTCATTCATAATCATTCTTCTCATTTCCCAATCTTTCTGTCTCTCAGCACTCCCACTCCCCCAAAACAAATATCAAATATTTTGAAAAAAAAAAACAATTTTGTTTTTTATTTTTCACAAATTTTGAAACTTTATTTTTTGCTTTTATTATTTCATATTCATTTTTTGGGACCTATTATGCACCACCTGACCAAGTCTCATGATTTCAAATTTGTGCTCTGGAGCTCTGGAATCCAAAATAGGCAGCCACTTTTCACTGTCTAGGCACTGTACAACATGTACATACAACAGCAAAGCACTATGGCAGGGGAAATCCTGGCTATGGGTAATGTAAATCTTAAACAGTAATGAGTGATGAGAAATAATGTAGCTAAGAGACAGATGTTCTATGTATACAAGTGTTAATCAGGTATGGAAAGTCAAAGGAGTGTGAAAGGAAATATGTACATGATGTAATGTAGTTAAGGTTATCCTGATTGATGTATGTAGTTATGGTTATGCTGAATATGTAGTGTAGTATGTAGTAATGGTGATGTACCATGATGAATGAGTGATTCTACATAGAAACTGTAACTATATAATGTGTAATAGGGGGTATCAAATATGGGAAATCCACCATTAGAAACCAGTCACTTTTCTCAAAACTTTTTTTTGCATCAATGGGCCCCAAAAGGGGTTAAATGAAGAACCAACATGTTTAAAAAAGGGTGGATTTTTTCAAACCAGTCAATTAAATAATGGTGGATTTGGTTATATTTGATACCCCCTAATGTATATGTACTGTATGTATAAAATAATGTACTGTTCTGTAACTCTGAATATACTGAAGAGATGATAACTAGAGAACTATAAGAGATACTGAAAAGCTGTAAGAGGTGACTAGGGGTGAAATGATGTGTAGAATATGAATATGAAATAATACTGGGAAGAATATATGTAAATGATGAAGAAAAATGAGGATACATGGAAAGGTATGGACATACCACAACGAGACACAAGAAGCAGCAATGTCCATTATTGAAAACGCATTTGTAGTTGTCCACAACCCCGATATCGACTACTATTTGTTTTCCGGGGAATTCATTGCCGACTCTGGTGCCAGCATCCATTTGGTAAACGACTATAACATGCTTATCAATCCAGTCAAATGCAAACCTAAGTTAATCAACACGGCCAAATCTAACACCAGCATCAAAGTAACCATAAAAGGAAGTGTTTGTGTCATGGCTCTCAGCAATCACAATCAACGTGTCTACATTGACCTCCCAAATGTTTTCTATTGTCCGGACCTAGCTGGTAATCTACTATCCATCAAGCAAATCATTAACTCAGGCGCCCACGTCCGATTCACCGACAACAACATGATCATTGAATTCAAGAATGAAGATGTCCATATCAAATTAGTCACTCGGGGCAATGATCTTTAATGGACCGTTAGTACTGTTAAAGCTCCTGCCACATGTTTTGCTGGTTTATGCACTAACATATGGCATTCACGTCTTGGTCACCCATTGACTGTACCCTATGGATGGAGGTAAACTCCCCCACCAAACCAATATTTGTGAACACTGCATAAAAGGAAAAATACAATGTTCATCTTTTAACTCTTTTCTGCCTATCTCATCACGTCCACTGTACCGTGTCTACTCGGATATACTGGGACCCATGCCTGTACCAACCAATTCTGGAGTCCGTTATATTCTCACTTTCATTGACATCGACTGTCATACACGCTA